TAGCATAGTGGCTTATTGGCCACAACACTTGGTTTAGATTAATTTGGGCTATTTGGCCCTTCACTTGGTGAGCTTATTGGCTCCACAAAGATTGGGAGTTGATTGGCTCACTCCACTTTGTTTGGGAATGCTACAACTCCTTTTATAGGTGTAAGTAGCCGACATATGCCCGAGTCCAGCCACATGTTCAACCGACTTGAGCTCTTTACTCCAGCCACATGTTCAACCGACATAGTTGGTGAACTTCACAATTCATTGCTGCATGGTTGTTCTGGAACTTTCTTCAAACTTTTGTTGTGTTAGCCGACATCACCAAGTCCACTGGCTTTATCATATTTTTTTGTTCCATAATTTAGTTTGTAGTTTCTTGAGTTTTCTAGAATTGTGTAGTTATATCTACACAAATATGCATTACTTTTTTCAACTGACAGCTATTTGCGTGCAATTAGTGCAGACATTAAATTCAACGTTGGATCGATTTTAAAGGTTACATGTAGAATCTGGTGAAAGAAAACACAAATTCACATGACTGAGACCCATTGACCCACACAATCATCTTCTCTCTCCTCTTTTTCTGCCTTCTTCTATTTTCCTCTCATTCTCCTATCCTCCCTCTCTGGGCATTCAAACTGAAAAATCGAGCTGAATTGAGCAGAAAAAAATCGGAATAACCAAAACCAGACTGAGTTAACCAAAAACTGAACTAGACCGGTTTGGTTCGATTTCAATTCCAGTATCTTGTAGTGAAAAAAGGGACCGGGCGAACTGGACAGATTGTGGTGGATTTCAGACAATTTTCATTTTTTTTTTTCATCTTCTCATGATCTCCATATCTGTTTCACATTTTCTTCTCCCTTCTCATCTCTCTCTACTTTCTCACTTTGAAAATTCTATAATCTACAACCATAACAACTAGGGTTATTAAATATATATATATATATATATATATATTCGACTTACTGATTTCCATAAAAATTAAATGACACATTTGTCTGTTTAAAAGCTACTCAGTCATGTTGTTAAACGTCATTTGAAGTTAAGCAGCATCAGATTGAATTCAGGTGTGCCTGCCAATTATCTGAATAACATCTGTGTTTTAGGACCAAAAAGAAAACACAATATGGAAAAAAAAACAAAAAACAAAAACAAAAGCACCACCAGCTAACCCAAACGGGAAAATAATCAGGAGCAGCGGCTGCTTTGAGCAAGACCAGTTCTTTTTTTTCTATGAACTGGGGGGTGTAAAACCCCAAGAAACACAGAGCAACTACTCACTACAGAGACCGAGTCCTAGTGACTCCTAGCAAATCATCAACAAGGCTAGAGCCATCCAACTCGGAGCCATATCAAGAAAACAAACACCTAGGTCCAGACTGTAGCTCCGCTGAGCAATACAATCAGCAACCACATTTCTTTCTCTATAAACATGCTGAAGAGCACAGGTATCAAACTTTCACATAAGCTCCCAGCAGCTTGAAACCAGAGACACCATAGCCACTGCAGAATCCATTTTAGCAAGACAACTTTCAACCAGCTAGAAGGTGAAAAAATGAAAAAGAAGAAAAAGTCATGCACTCAACGTTAATTGGTGGACTGACTGTAAAATTTTATATCGAGGCAAATTGTCACCATCAATGTTAATATATAAGGAAATGAATTTCATTCTCTTTGTAGAATGAATCCATATATAGCATAAGCATTGAACATTTCCATTGGTTAAATACCACCTAATTAAAAATAATAATAATTATCTCCTAACTACTTTTTTCTTTGGGTACTACTCCTAATACCTGGTCTTTCATCAGCATAATTATATGAATATATTCTCCCTCAACTGACCTTGTCTTATAATTAAACAACCCTAATAACCCTTTACAAAAGGTAACTTATTTTATTGAAACACCAAACAGTAGAGCTGAGTCAAAGTTCTTCAAAATTCTATCACAACTGAATTTTCTTTTTCTAGTGCTAAAATATATATAGGAAATTTATTGTTCAATAGTTAAACTTAAAGGTGAGATTTTGTCAAATACCAAGTCTTGACTTGCCTCTAAATACTACAATATTCAAATCTTTACCTGCTTAGACAAGGAAAATCATATCCAAGAGTACAAGACCAGTTCATTCTCTCCAGTCTATAAATAGGCTTCTAAGCCATGAAGGATTTTCATCCCATATCCTCAAACCAAAACTCTCTACACACGAAGAAAAAACAGTAAAGAAAGTTCTGAGGCAACCTAGCTCTAATTAAGCCAACTGCAATGAAAGGTGTTCATTTCCTCATAAGCACTCTTGCCATATTGGCATCTGCAACCTTCCTTGTCTCTGCCTCTGACCCCAGTCCTCTTCAGGACTTCTGTGTAGCACTCGATGACACCAAATCTGCTGGTATGCAGTAATTATATTCATTATATTCTGCCCTGCAATTATTTCCACATGAATTATTTTCTTCTTAAGGCATTAGGAATATTATGAAGACTGTTTTTCTGTTAACTATATGCATTTGCATGGCCTCTCATGCATGAACAATCTATTAGTACATAATTTTACAGATACATATATATATGTATTGTCCCTTACACATGTATGTCCTATTTGTACTATATTTACTGACTATCTTATTGATCACCTCTCTAATATATCATGTGGGTTCTGTTTCGCTTAGGTGGATATTTCGGTGCAGGCGCAGTGTTTGTAAATGGGAAATTCTGCAAGGACCCAAAGCTTGTCAATGCAAATGATTTCTTCTTTTCTGGCCTCCAAAATCCAAGAAACACACAAAATCCGCTTGGTTCAAATGTGACAACTGTGAATGTGGACCAAATAGCAGGGTTGAACACTCTCGGCATATCCCTGACTCGCATAGACTTTGCACCAAATGGCCTAAACCCTCCTCACACTCACCCTCGTGCCTCCGAATTTCTTGTGGTATTGGAAGGATCACTCTATGTTGGTTTCGTCACATCCAACGGTGATGGAAATCGCCTATTCACCAAAGTGTTGAACAAGGGAGATGTGTTTGTGTTCCCAATTGGCCTCATTCACTTCCAATTCAATGTGGGACACGTCAACGCTGTAGCCTTCGCTGGGCTTAGCAGCCAGAACCCAGGAGTGATCACCATAGCCAATGCAGTGTTTGGCTCCAAGCCTCTCATCAACCCTGATGTTCTAGCCAAGGCCTTCCAAGTGGACAACAATGTGGTTGACTATCTTCAGAAACAGTTCTGGTACGACAACAATTAGTAAAATACAACAATAATTATATGCGAAGAGCATAAAAGGCCAAGGAAAGAACAACCAATCGATGTGCTTGGTTGGATGTATTAAGTTGGCCAATTTGTTTTTTCCCTACGTACCTACAACAAATTACTATGATGTAATATTAATTGAATAAGATTGTTGGTTTGCATTACTTACCCTCTGGGTTTTGAAATAATATAATTTCGTTTTGAAATAACATTATGCATTAATTCAACAAACATATTATGACAACTTAATAATACTAAATGGAGGAGCCTTGCCATTTTAACATTGATTAGTTTGGCCCATGCTCTAGGGCAAATCACGTAGAAATTTATCTCTCTTGAGGACAGCTAGTTGTGTGCGAACATCAAATTCAACCGTTGGATCGATATTGATGGTTGAGATTAAAACATGGGTTTTAAAAGTTTACATGTAGAATATGGTAAAAGAAAACATAAATCCAAGCGGGATGGTAAAGGGCGGGTTAGGAGTCAGGGATGGCAATACCATCTCCGTCCTTACTCTTCATTCTCGCCCATGTCCTTGTCCCCATCCCCGATATGAAATTTCGGGGAATCCCCATTCCCGTCCCCGTCGGGGAATGGTATCCCAAACCCATCTTGATTTTTTTTTTTTTTTTTTTTTTTTTTTTTTTTTTTTTATTTTTTATATAAATGATTAAATTCACTTAATATTTAACACTTAAAAAGTAATTAAGTTTAACTCAATTACAATTCAATTGAACTATACAATTTCACTCAACTACTCAAAATCAAATCTCAATTTAATTTGACAAAACTAATAAAATCATATAATAAAAAACATATGTCAAAAGTTTCACCATCTTACAAAGTTTAGGGTAAGTTTTTAATTGTTATATTATATATTTAGTAATTAAAAACGTGATCAAAGTGCTTTTATACATAAATATTTTCTGGATGAGTTTTAAATTTAGTTCACGTAATTAAATCTTCCTTTTGGAAATGGATAAACTATTTATGCGTAGACTAGCTGACATGAATGAAAGTTTATGTCAGCATAGTTAGCATCCTACGTGTCACAGTGGACCCCACATGCTTTTAAAATCCAATTCAAAGTAGATCAGTTTGTAGATTTGGCCAAAAAAAGAAGCTTCTTAGTCGAAATAATTTGGAGATTAGGGTTCAGAGTGTATAATCAGAGAGAGAGAGAGAGAGATAGAGATTCAAAAATCTAAGAATGAGCGAATATTGCAAAGAATCAAAGCAAAAGAATTGAAATCTTGGGAGAAGCGCGAATATTGGAGAGAATGAAAAGGACAATAGAGGTGCCGAGAGAGAAAGGAGGTTCTCAACCTGAGTTCTGTAAGTGGCCCTTCTCTTTTGAAATGGAATGAATGAAAGCGAGAGATTTACAAAATGTGGTCCAAGTTTAAGCTTCTTTATTGTCTAGGTTCAAAGGTGTTGAGTTTGAAAAGCCTGGAATAAAAAATTGTTGTGGTCCCCTATGTCTTGATGTTATGTTTTCATGTTTACTAGTTGTTTAAAGGTTCTTTTAGTGCTTTAAAATTGTTAGTTGCGTGTTAGCATCCTACGTGGCACAGTGGACCCCACATGCTGCTTTTAAAATTCAAATGAAAGTAGATCAGTTTGTAGATTTGGCCAAAAAAAGAAGCTTCTCAGTCAAAATAATTTTGGGGTTAGGGTTTAGAGTGTATAATCAGAGAGAGAGAGAGAGAGAGAGAGAGAGAGAGAGAGAGAGAGAGAGAGAATCTGAGAATGAGCGAATATTGCAAAAGAATTGAAATCTTGGGAGAAGTGCAAATATTGGAGAGATTGAAAAAGACAATAGCGATGCCGAGAGAGAAAGGAGGTTCTCAACCTGAGTTCTGTAAGTGGCCCTTCTCTTTTGAAACGGAATCAATGAAAGCGAGAGATTTACAAAATGTGGTCCAAGTTTAAGCTTCTTTATTGTCTGCTTGCTTTGTCTGGTTAGGTTCAAAGGTGTTGAGTTTGAAAAGCCTGAAATAAAAAATTGTTGTGGTCCCTTATGTCTTGTTGTTATGTTTTCATGTTTACTAGTTGTTTAAAGGTTCTTTTAGTGGTTTAAAATTGTTAGTTGCATGTGAATCTTGCTCCATGTCTGTTTACTGGTTTGGTGATTGTGTTGTCCTTTTTAAACTGTACATATGACTATGCAGTGGTTAAAATGTGTTTCTTTATGTTCTGTTGTGCAGATGACAAAGGAATAGTCACTTTTGAAGTACACCATGGAGGTAGAATGGTAAAGTCCCCAAACCTCAATGAGTGGTGGTTTTATATTTGGAGGGGGGGAGGGGTTGTTGATTATTTGGATTGGTGTCTTCTAGACTACATAAATTTGTGAGAGATATATACTTATGCAAAAGAGCTTGGCTACCATGACCAAGTGGTTGTGACAGGGATACAAAATGGTAAAAAAGTGTGCATATATAGTGATGCTCAGCTACTTGAATGGTGTCATTTGGTGCCTTCTAGCTTTGAAAGAGTGATTGTACTTTACTTGGAGCACCCCCTACTGTTATTAATGTGGATGAAACTGCAGTGGCTTAGAGGGAGAGGGGTCCTATTGCAGGAAACCTAACTGCTAAATTTGAACATGAAGATGAGAGTAATGAACAGTCTGATTATGAGGGTATGTATGAGGATGATGAAGTTGACGAAGAGGCTACAAATATGGAGGAAGAGGGTGATGACATTACTATTGATGAGGCTATAAATGAGGAGGTTGAGGGTAATGAAGAGGCTGAGAATGAGAAAAGTGTTGAAAATGTGAATGAAGACAATGAAGAACATGAGAAAGACCCTGAATTTTATGACAGTGTATGAGCAAAGTGAAGATTAACAATGCTTGTTGGAGAATGATGATAAAGCATTTGACAACTGTGTTGACCACAATGCTCCAAATTTTGATCCAACTGCAGATGAATGAGAGAAGTCAAATGATATGGCTGTAAGTGATGTTAATAGGTTGGATAGTTGCTCATGTGATGAGGTTGATATGCCTATGAGAAAGAGGAAGAGGAAACTGCCCGAGTTTGATGATTTTAGGTCTAACACAGATTTGACTAACCTAATTTTTAAGATCGGTATAAGATTTCCCAATGTCTATGTATTTAGGAAAGCAGTGAGAAACTATTCAGTATTTAACAGAAGGAAGATGATCATTTGTATGGTTCATCCAATAGCAAGCCAAGACTTGTGGGCTAAAACAAATTTCCCACCTTTGTTGCCACCTAAGTATCACAAGCAGCCAAGGAGGCCAAAGAAAAGAAAGGTAAGGTTAGCTGCTGAACCACCTCCAAGCTCTAATCCTAAAGCTAAACACTTGCGAAGGTATAATTTGGAAACCAAGTGTTCCATATATAATCAAGCATGCCATAATAAGAGGAAATGTGCAAGGACAAATGATGCAGGGAGTAGCAGCTAGGTATAATCAAAGCATCTAATTTTAAAAGTTTTGTATGTTTAGCATTCTGATATGGATTCATATGTGATGTTTGTTGGTCAGGTACCATTAAAAAGGCAAAATAAGAGAGCACCTCAAGGCAACACATCAACTCAGAGAGTTATGAGACAATCAAGGCAGAAACAAGCATCATCTTCTACACAGTCAAGGCAAAAACAACCAGTAAGTTGAGTTTATTTTATTTAAGTAGCATTATGGAACTCTTCATTTGTTTATTTTAGTAAATGCTCATGTTAATCTAACTCTGCCACAATTTTCAGATTATATCAAAGGCTAAAAAAAGGACTAATCATCACCATGCATCTTCTCAGTCTAACCAAGCTCCTCAACCATCTCACCAAGCAGCTCAACAATCTCAACCTTCTCAAGCTTCTCAGTTTGACAACCATCTCAGTTTTAACAACCATCTTAGTCTCAAAAACCAAATTGGTCTCAGCCTCAAGCATCTTAGCGTCCATAAGCTTCTGAACAAATGAAAGTTTGGTTTGAAGTCTCCAGCTAAAAGGAAAGCATTCTTGGCCAAGTTTCAGCCATGGAGATATTGAAAAAGCTCTACTCAGTTTTGGTTATCACATGTGTTTAGGGTTAGAGAAAGCATCTGAATGTGTTTTTATGGGTTGAATATTGGTTTTATGTTTTGTTGTGTCTTGGTGAACACATGTGTTATTAGGTAGAAACTGTTTGTTTGGTATTTTGTTGTCTATTTTGTTCTTGGGTACAAATTGTTTGGCATTGCCATGGATATCACACATGCATATGCAGTCTTTTGTATTTTGTTTTGGCATTGCCATGGATTGAACATGTACAATTTATGTACAAGACTATGTATAAGTTATTAATCAATGGTAATTCAAAAGCTCAGAAAGGTTTCAAGAATTTTTGGTGCATACACAAGTGTTTAGTTATCACATCCCGAGATCGGCTCCGCCGTAGCACGATATTGTCCGCTTTGGGCCCCTCCTCTTTGCCCTCACGGTTTTGTTTCTAGGAACTTACGAGCAACTTCCCAGTGGGTCACCCATCCTAAGATTGCTCTAGCCCAAATTCGCTTAACTTCGGAGTTCCCATGACTCTGAAGCCAGTGAGCTCCCAAAAGGCCTCGTGCTAGATGGAGGCGGGCATGTACATATAAGGCACATCACTCCCTCTCCGTTGGTTGATGTGGGATGTTACATTAGTCCTAACCATTACAAAAAGGCTTTGAAACCATTACATTTGCAAAATACTACAACAATTACATAAGCCTCTCATCTCACTAAATTGTCATTCTAGTAGGTACATTACACCACATTACCTAACTTTCAAACATACCACATTGCCTAACTTACATTACATAACATTCCCAAACCAAACCATAAACACAAAGGCCCAATAAATAAATAGAGCAATCCACAACTTCTTCTCTCTTGCTCTCTCATGCCCAATCTAATCTTCTACTTCTCTCATTGTCCTCAGTAGCCAAGCCATTAGAGCTCTCTCACAGGGAGGCATTTCAATATCAACCCATACAAAAAACCTAAAATTGTTTCCCCCCCTCTGCATTCAAACAAAAGTTCCATCACATTCTCACAATTTATTGTCAAAATTTAGATAAAATAGCAAATCCAAAACCTACCTCTAACTTTGGACACACAAAGAACCTCCAAAGTGGGTCGGATTTTATCCGAGAAGTCTACAGCCGAGCAAGCCTCTCATAGTAGCAATGAGGTGCAGCAATGGCCAGCTCTTCTCCTCGTGGAGGTTCTATCCTCATCTTCCACACCCTTTAATTGAACAAATATGGAGAAATTTTTCTACGGGTATAGAACCTTAAATCCTTGAAATGGTGGTAAGTAATTTTTCTAGGTTTAGAAACCCTTTTATTGAAGAAAAAGAAAGCGAATTGTTAATTGGGATTCACTTGACCCCTTGAGTTGCTTCCATTTGGATTTTAAAAGCCTATGGGGTCCATTGTGCCACGTAGGATGCTGACTATGCTAAACAATCGGCCACCGTGGGTACTTACTGTAATGACCCTACCATGTCATCATGTTTTTATGGTCTTTTGAATGGGGTTATGACAGGACCCGACCCAAATTCAACTTTGGAATCTGTGTCGAACCCTGTGCGTGTCCAACACCTAACAGGTATCGGCACAATTGTCCAAAATACCATTTCTTACCCTAATCCAAAACTGCTTTAGGGTTTGACTTCTATCCGAAAACCGGCAAAGTCTCCCTTGAAAAATGGACATTTACCAAATTATTTCCACCTATATAAATAACAATTTAATATTTCCCAACTTTAGCAGGCACAATGCTAACACGCACTATTACCATATGGCCTCCAGCCTCAAATTCAACCTTATTAGGGCAATATCAGTGTAACTCTACGAATTTGTTTCTTACTTTGCAACTAACCACAAATTCCAAAGCATAACTCAATCGTTTATTTTGCGACTGCACCTAGTAACTCTACGTACCCTTATTAAGGAATCAAGCCATACGTAGATCTTTCTACATAAATTGTAAGTAAACAAAGGTAACTTAATCAAACAAATTGAGAAACCTTCATAAATAATTCAGATCAATCCACTAAAACTCAATCAAGAACTTTTGAGGTTAGAACAATCTTCTACTCATCCCACATGTGCATATATATATATATATGTATATAATTAACTTATTACTTATAAGTAGGAAAACGAGAAAATTATTAGATAGCATTGACCACGTGAAAAACCTTAATGTCAATATCAACAATTTAAATAAATATGTTTCCCTCTTTCACATGTAAAGACAAATTCATCACTTAATAAAATAATTGTGAATTATATAAAATCTTTAAAATTTAGAAAACTCTCGATACTTGTCTCATAAGTTGGAAAACATATATTTAAAACCTTCACCAATAAGTACTAAAATAAAATCATCAATTTTAGTTTTAAACATCTCAAAACTCGAACCTAGGCGTACCCCCATTCATGATTCGTCATTTCCAATAATATTTCGTAAATTTCAATAATATTCCGTCAATTCCAAGTGTCACATAAGCGACACATCCTCGCGGGCCTTGGAAACACAAAGTCAACCCGAGCCACATTCCTCACAGAACTCGAGGGACACGTAGTCAGCCTAAGAACACACATCCTCGCATAACTCGGGGGACATGTAGTCAGCCCGAGAATGCACATCCTCGCATCACACGGTTCAGGCATCCCTGAAACTCGCGGGGCATTGTCATAATTGACAAAACTATTTCCAAGGCAGGGGGGGGGGGGGGGGGGGGGGTGGGGGTACTGTGGTGTGCCTGTCCTGGTGTGATTGAAACATATTCCGAAAACTTATCCATAAGCTTTCCCTTATTCCACTAATCCATTTTTCCAAAATTTTGATGAACTTTCCAAAAATCAGTTCTCAACTACAGTTAAATAATCCAATATCACTCAATCCTATACTTTAATAATAATAATAATAGTAATAAATAATGTAAAATATTAACCTTAGTGATCCCATATCCTTATTAACCCAATTTTGATAAATCTTTAATCAAAACTCACTTATGCAAGAAATTCCATATTAAAAGAGCGAAGTACACTTAAAAACACACGTCTACTCATTCCCTGATAAATATAGCTGAGACCCATGGCTCACCTTCACAACCCACCAATCAAGTAATCCATAAGATACTATAAAACAATCTCATAATTCCAACATAATCAAAATAACTCAAATAACAGTCCAGACTTGTTTATAAGGTCATTCTAGTACTTCTCGAAGGGTGGAACTACCTCGGAAGAGTTATGGTCAACCAAGGGGTCAAACTGCCCAAACTTGGTCAACCGGGTCTGCGGGACCCACGACCTTCGATTCCCAATCCGAGAGTTCCTGTAGGTTTAACAAGGTTTACTATACATGTACTTCAAGTTTGGATCAAAACGAACGGTCGGATCGGTCGCGATCGCACGATCAGACGGTTATCTTTTAACGCAAACTTTAAGTCATTGAATTAGAACCCGATTCATAATCCGCGCTACACGGTATGCCTAGATCAACATATAAGAAATTGGGGTCGATCCAATGGTCCGAACATATCGAACCCTGATAACCCCTAATATGCCATATCTGATCAACGGTCAAACAATAACCAATTTCAAATCTAAGAATACTATCGTGCTCGAGATGAGAAGATGATCATTTTAGGACTCAAAGACCTGCCACAAAGTGGCCCACGTGCCGCCACAAGCGCTAGCAGCGCGTGGATGCCCAAAGCGATTTCGGCGATTAGAAAATCTCCAAACTGCCAATGAAGACCTATACCACATGATCAGGACATTGAGTGGAGCAACTTTTGTTCTTGGGCCATGGCCAAAAAGTGGCAAAAAATGTCCTGAGTCGCAAACTGAAACCGGCTGAAACTTTAAGTGATAATTTTGAGTTTCAAAATGCAAAAATTGATCCTAAACAACCCAACCAACAGCTAGAACACATTGAGAGGATGAAAAAGCATACCTAGATCAAAGAAATTGGTGGCTGAAATCACCGGAATGAGCGACGTAAACTTTAAGTAAAAATTGACCAGATTTTTGCTTTTTTCGGCGACCAGAGGTGACGGTTCCGTCGGAGGTGGGGTGGGGTGGGGTCGGAAGAGGAGGTTGAGGTGGTCGTTTTGTTACCAGTCTCACGAGATTTGGTGGTCTTTTTGGCACCGGTCTTATGAGATTTGGTGGTCGAATGAAGCAGTTGCAAGCAAAAATCCGAGCGGTTGTACTGTTGGGGGACGGGGCTGTTTCGCATGCACGGGGGAGAGAGAGAGAGAGAGAGAGAGAGAGAGAGAGAGAGAGAAGAAATTCTGGGTTTTTACAAAAATGACTTCGCAATATTTACGATTATGCCACTAGGCTTATGTAGCTCATGACTTCTTTGTTACAACTTCGATTTGAGCCCACTACATGTCTACGAACTCGTATCGCCACGCTCTACACAACGGTACCAAACAAATCCCCAAATTCTTTCCCAAATAAAAAGTAAAATTTAAACCTATTAAAATATTCTCAAGGTAAAATTGTCTTTTACTTTAATATTTTATTAATTAAGTATTAATTTAGGATTAGTTTATTACAATCTACCCCTTTATAAAAATTTCATCCTCGAAATTACATACTGTCTTGGTATGTTCTGAATTGCACTCCGACCCCTTAACCTTCGTAAAATTATTTCTCTTTCAATGCCTACAAGTCCAGTTTTACTTTCTCCAATCCTTGACATAAAATTTTTAGGCCTCAAGTTATAATTCCTCATGAACCGTTTATTTGCAACGTGTATACTACATTGTCATATGAAACCTCAACAAATTTTTCAAATACTTTTTGATGTCTTAAACTCAGCCATGCCAAGAAGGTAAGACAACGTTATGAAACATCATGCACTTCACTAAAATAAGGATGGGGCGGGAGAGAGAGAGAGAGAGAGAGGATTCATATATGGGTTCTTGTATT